GAGAATGAGTAAGCGTATAAGCATAGGCACACACGGAAACATATATACACACACACATACGCGAGCCTCGTGAAAATAAACGACACAGATATAAAGTATTGTAACAAATGTTCGCCGTCGTATATAGAACGCGCTCGCAGGGCTGTTGCGTGAGTAAAATTTCGGCAAAAAACATTATAGATAACGACGCTATAAGCGAACGAGCGCGGTGGGTTATAGGGATTTTAAAAAAAGCTACACAGCATCGAATCGCTCCTCTCTCTCTCTCTGGCAAGCCCGGAACGTCGTGCCGCGCTTACAACACGAAAAAGCTTGCGCTTCGCCGAGAAATAGAGAGAGAAAGAGAGAAGAGATATTCAAAAATTTGTTGGCCCCGTGTGTGGAGGAGTCGGGCGGAGTGGGGCACACGCCACTGGCTGGTATCACTATAGCTATGGCAAAAATATGATGCCTCGCGTCCGGACCATTTATGGGGGTGTGCGTTAGAATCGAACGCTTAAATAGCTGCGACCGAGTCGGCAGAAGCACAGACGCCATCGCAGCTGTCCAGTGAACGGTACGTACAGCGAACAGCGAGTTGGAGCTCTTCGAAGCTCGCAAGCCCGCTACAAAAGTGTTAGAGAATCTCACCAAGAGTCAACTTTTCTCGTTTTTTCGATCTTATTCTGTGCTCAACCGACGGCGATCAAGTGTTTTTTCTTATAATTTTTTTCGATCATCGCAAGTTTTTCGTACGATTCAAAAAAAGTGATACTTTGGGACTTTGTCAACGAATCAGTGTTCATAACCAGTGTGCTTTTATCGAGTCAGTTTTTTTTTTCGTTCGACAACACAAGTTTTACTGCAGATATTCAACTGATATTCAAAGTTTAATCGTTTGATAAAAGATCATATCGACTGTGCTTTTATCAAATTGTGCGCTGATGCAGTTGAATACCCAAGTATTTCGTTTTGTTGTTGGACTTTTTTTTTGTCCAACAAGTTGAACGCAGCCACAATCGGAAGGATTTTTCAATTCAGTTAAAAAAAAAATTACAGTGACCTCCATCTTGCATTCAGATTGTGGATTGTGCTCAGCTCAACTCGTTGTTTAAAAAAATTGTGCATTCAAACGGAGCGCGTAAAAATTTAAATTCAAATATACCTTCGTAGACGCTCGATTGGTCGTGAGCTTCATGGCTAGCTGACCAATGCCAGCGATGCAATGGCTCTAGAGTGAAAATTTAGATAAAAGTTGACTCTTAGAATCAGATTTCATCTTCATCGATCAATCATTATACAATTAGATAATAATCATTGCATAAATACATTTACTAACGTTCAATTACCCGATCGCTTCACGTCGAAGTATAATTTTTTTTTATCCTAACGTACGGGCGGTAAATAAAACGCGAAAATTTCTAAGTCTCGAAAATGTCATTATCATTTGGATTACATTAAAAACGTTATATAACCGCGAAAATCGTCTCGACGATACTCGCCGCGCTAATCGTTATGAAATTCTTGGCCACCCAGTCGCCTCGTTTTTAATCGTCGCAAAATTTCATAACTTATTTGTCATCAACTTTATCCGCGTAAAAGCTACAAATTCACTCGTACGAACGGGTAATATTTAGCGCGAGTCATTTCGTGAAAGACAGAGAGCGGGAGAGAGAGAGAGAGATGAGAGCCGAGTCTTATTTATAAAAAGCGCGTCGCGCGCGCACGGATTTATGATCGGCGCTTGTGCGTGCGCGCTGTATAGGGTGCGGCGTTTCTAAAATTAGTACGAAACGCGCCCAAAAATAAGCGCGACCATATTCCGTAGTCAAGACTCTCTTTCGCGTGTTTCTACGAGTTTGTGTGGGAGTCGGGAAAACTTAGAAGCACACACAGACTATTATTAAAAGACCCGCTCTGCTGCTGCGGCGGCGGCGGCGGGGGGGAGTCGATCGAGTTTCCGCTCGCTCTTCGCGGGACGCTTTACTTTTTCCGTTCAGTTCTCTCTCGTACTTTGTCCGGCGCGAATCATCTTGATCGTTTATCACGGTACGATTATTTAATTTTTCGGACTTTGATTATTTTTCACGGAAGTAGATTTTGGACCTTTGAATTTCCGTAGTCTTATACCGTGGGATACTTTTTCATTGTTTTATCGTTTGTATTTTTTTTTCTCATTGCAGATTCGTTTGACCAAACAGTCCCAAACCCAAACAAATCAAAATGTGTGACGACGAAGTTGCCGCCCTCGTAGTTGACAATGGCTCCGGTATGTGCAAGGCCGGTTTCGCCGGTGACGACGCGCCCCGCGCCGTCTTCCCCTCGATCGTCGGTCGCCCCAGGCATCAGGGCGTCATGGTCGGTATGGGCCAAAAGGACTCGTACGTAGGTGACGAGGCCCAGAGCAAGAGAGGTATCCTCACCCTGAAATACCCCATCGAGCACGGTATCATCACCAACTGGGACGATATGGAGAAGATCTGGCATCACACCTTCTACAACGAGCTCCGCGTCGCCCCCGAGGAGCACCCAGTCCTCTTGACCGAGGCCCCATTGAACCCAAAGGCCAATCGTGAAAAGATGACACAGATCATGTTTGAAACCTTCAACAGCCCGGCCATGTACGTCGCCATCCAGGCCGTACTCTCCCTGTACGCCTCCGGTCGTACCACCGGTATCGTCCTCGACTCCGGTGATGGTGTCTCCCACACCGTCCCAATCTACGAAGGTTATGCCCTTCCCCACGCCATCCTCCGTCTGGACTTGGCCGGTCGCGACTTGACCGACTACCTCATGAAGATCCTCACCGAGAGAGGATACAGCTTCACCACCACGGCTGAGCGTGAAATCGTTCGCGACATCAAGGAGAAGCTCTGCTACGTCGCCCTGGACTTCGAGCAGGAGATGGCCACCGCCGCCGCCAGCACATCCCTCGAGAAGAGCTACGAGCTTCCCGACGGACAGGTCATCACCATCGGTAACGAGAGATTCCGTTGCCCAGAGGCCCTCTTCCAGCCCTCGTTCTTGGGTATGGAGTCTTGCGGCATCCACGAGACCGTCTACAACTCCATCATGAAGTGCGACGTCGACATCCGTAAGGACTTGTACGCCAACAATGTCTTGTCCGGTGGCACCACCATGTACCCCGGTATCGCCGACCGTATGCAGAAGGAGATCACCGCCCTGGCCCCGTCCACCATCAAGATCAAAATCATCGCCCCACCAGAGAGGAAATACTCCGTATGGATCGGTGGTTCCATCCTCGCCTCCCTCTCCACCTTCCAACAGATGTGGATCTCCAAGCAGGAATACGACGAATCAGGCCCTGGCATCGTCCACCGCAAGTGCTTCTAAGCGCCAACTTAGCCGCCAACGTCACTCGCCATTTATATATAAATATTATATCTCTATTATGGTTATATACTTTTATGTTAAAAAACTACACGCACGACTACACATGCAACAACAACTACAACAACAACAACAACAAGACACAATTCCGAATGCAGTCGGTACACAAAACTCCTGTTATTATATGTTTCTGCATCATTGTATAACTATTTGATTGCATTACTAAATTGTTAGCTTCCATCAATATAATAACGATTATTGTTTATATAATTTTAATTATTATATCGATTGTCCCCAAGAATTTGTAATGGAATAGTATATTCTAATGATATTGCGCACGATTACACGTATATGCAGGCTTGTTTATTTGTGCCAGGCTAGTATGTATATGTATTATCGATTATTATAATTGTTACATTATTATTTTTTTCGATCCATTTCGGCAATGTCATACATTAAATCATTTTTTGTATACACGCTGTTACTTTAAAAAAAAAAATAAAAATATACATTCGTAAGACACGTAAAAAATAAAACTATTTTGGCTATTCTATTTTCTACCTCAAGCGACATTCTGAAAACGATATTTTGAAAGATTTGCTAAATAATATATCAAAACACAAGGGACATCTATATATAATATTTGTCTCCAGGTATAGGCGCGGATATGTATATCGAGCTCCACGAACTGCGTGAAGCTCGCGCAACACCACCTAGACATAAATATACACATAATAGACACGAAGATAGACGCGAAAATAATAATAACCCCCAGTAAGCGAACGGCTGATATAATAAATTCAGGTCGCGAGGCGCATATATAAAAAAAATTTTTCACAAAAATAGTCGCTCGGCTCGCGAGTCATAATCATCATATACGCTATACAGAGCATATGCTTACATGTTGCTGACACGCAGTTGGACGCGAGCCCCCCATGCCTCGTGCGAGGCGAAAAAATGTGTAAATACGCCGAGTATTTTCGTAATACACGGCTCTATTCGAAGACGGCGAGCAGCAGCAGCAGCAGCAGAAAGCTCGTGCGACTTTCCCATCCGTTTTATTTTTACACGCGTTTGTATTGCTGCTCGCGGCTGCGAGATCGACGAAGCGCAGACGACGCAGACGATTATTATTGGAGCTAAGAGGAGAGACAAATCGATTAAATCGATTATCAGCCGGTAAAATTGAGGGAATCACAGGAGAAATGGATAAAATCGTTACCGACTTGAGCATGTAATTATGACGCCTATATATAGTCGATTCCCTGATGTGCACTTCTCATTTCGCTTCAAGTGCATCCTTGTAAACGCAAGTGTCCGAGCACATTTTTATTGTCGCTCTCTCGCTCTTTCTATTTCGTTTTTAGAAATTTAATTTTTATTTTTAACCATCGTTCGAATCGCCTCGACTGGAAGTAGCGTTATCGCGTCGTGTTGACAAAAATTTATTAATAATAAGCCGAGTGCACTACATACTTGGAAAATAGAGACAACGCGCGTGCACGCGTGTTCGACAGTCGCGTACCGTACAGCAGGTGAGGAAAAACTGGAAGCCTGTAGTTTTTGAAATTAGCCTGGTCCAAATTCATCGCTACAAGTGTCAATAATATGTTGTTCTTTTTTTTTAATTTTCCATAATTGCTCATTTTTTTGCATTTCGACAGTGTCGATCGGCTCGTGTGAATAGACGAAAAAAATATGAGGCCAGTCGAAGACAGGCCATCAAAAAATATCAACAATGACATGGGTAAAAATTCTCTCGGGGATTTTGGCGACCAAAGGATCGACATTCCGGAAATGGAGAATCACGTGAGTATTGACAGAATGTAGATTGCCTCTTGCGTTAAAAAATTTTAATTGCAACGGTTGCCTATAATTCCACCACGAAGACGAGCTTCAGCTTTCGCAAGCTGTGGGCCTTCATGGGTCCGGGCTTCCTAATGTCCATAGCCTTCCTCGATCCCGGCAACATCGAGTCGGACTTGCAATCGGGAGTGACGGCTCAGTACAAGGTCAGTATCGAGAAGTTTCCGGTCTCTCACACACACACATGACCCATGAATATGACGCATGTGTGTGCTATAGTTGATATGGCTGCTGCTCGGTGCCACCTGCCTCGGTCTGATAATGCAGCGACTGAGCTCGCGCCTCGGCGTGGTCAGCGGCCTTCACCTGGCCGAGATGTGCTATCGGCAGTTCCGCACGACGCCGCGGATTCTGCTCTGGCTCATGACCGAGATAGCCATCACGGGCAGCGACATGCAAGAGGTCATAGGCACGTCCATCGCGCTCTACCTGCTCACCAGTAAATGGTTCGTTGGCCAGCTGCCTGCCACTACTGCTCTTTGCTCGTATAAACGCACGCGCTTTTTTCCTCATTTTGTTACGAGTATGTTATGATGAAACTTGAAATTGGCCCACGGCGCACAGGTTACCGTTATGGGCCGGTGTCCTGCTGACCATCATCGACACGTTCACCTTCATGTACCTCGACAAGTACGGCATGAGGAAGGTCGAGCTACTCTTCGGCATCTTTATCGGCATCATGGCCTTGACATTCGGCTACGAGGTAAACTACCGGCTCCGCGTTTTTCATAATTATCATAGCTTTTCATAATTATCTGCGTCGATATATTCGCTACGCAAACGGTAAAAAGTCGACCGAATAGTATCGTGGTATATTCGTTCGTCTTATATTCTATTCCACATGCTTTCTAGTACGTAGTGTCGGCACCTCCACAGGGTGAATTATTGAAAGGCATGTTCACGCCCTGGTGCTCGAATTGCAATACAAGTGCACTGATACAAGCCGTCGGCCTGATCGGGGCCAATATTCAGCCGCACAATCTGTACTTTCACAGCGCACTTGTTAAGGTAATCCACCCGTTTTGATCTCCATGGATTCACATCAAAATCGTGCAAACGATCTTAGCGAAACTCTTCGAATCGTATTTTTAAAATTATTTTCCCGCTAAATATTTGCAGTCGCGAAAAATCGACCGCACCAAGCCCAACAAGGTGCGCGAGGCCTGCATGTACTACTTCACGGAAGCGTCGATCGCCCTGTTCCTCTCGTTTCTTATCAATCTCTTCGTCATGTGCGTATTCGCGCACGGCCTCTACAATAAGAGCAACGCCGACGTGGTGAGTGACTCACTACACACTAGCCAAATACACTCTGATCGATCGCATCGCGCTAATCAATCTTTATCGTAATTTCTTTTCTGTTCGCTCGTAGTATGCAACGTGCAAAGCCAGAAATTTCTCCTGGGGACTCGACGAGTTTCTCGTGAGTATAAATGCAAAAAGCTCGAAAGCCGTTGCAGACGAACGAAAGCGATAATTTTTCTTTTTCCGTCTTAGAATAACGCCGAACCCTTCGAGGCCGACCTCTACAAGGGTGGCATCTTTCTCGGCTGCTCGTTCGGCTTTACCGCGATGATCATCTGGGCCATCGGCATACTCGCCGCCGGCCAGTCGTCGACCATGACCGGCAGCTACGCCGGCCAATTCGCCATGGAGGGCTTTCTCAATCTCAAGTGGCCGAGATGGCGCCGGATCGTCCTAACGCGCTCCATCGCCATCGTGCCGACCTTCTTCATCGCCTTCTTCAGCAGCATCGAGCAGCTCACGGGCCTCAACGACATTCTCAACGTGACGATGAGCTTGCAGCTGCCGTTCGCCGCTCTACCGCTCATCGCCTTCACCAGTAGCGCCGACGTCATGGGCGATTTCAAGAATGGACTGTGAGTTTATTTTTTTTTATTCATTATAAAAATATCGTATTGAGAATTTTCTGACAGATTCAACAAGGTGGCATCGACTTTCCTGTCTCTGTTCGTCATTGGGATCAATTTTTTCCTGGTGGCGACTTTTTTGCGAGAGATGGTGGCCAAAAACGAACAACCCCACGCCATGGTTTTCGTTGCGATTGGAGTAGTGGGATTTCTCTACCTTCTCTTCTGTCTTTATCTTTTGGCTTACCTAGCATGTGCCATGGGTGCATCATCCATGAGCAAAATCAAAGTCAGTATTCAAAATCATTTATAGAGTCTTTTTTTCGATATAATCTATTATAAATGGGCTGAAAATTATTTTATTTTCAGTTTATCGCCAAGTACGTGACGGGACCGCAGACTAAAAATCTTGAAGTGGTGTCAAGAAGTTGATGAAGTCATGTATTTCTTTTTTTCATTTATTTGTGCGTTTGAACAATTTTTTTTAATTGTTATTTCAACCAACGGTTAAGTTTAAAATTGTAAATGTATTCAATATTTTGTTGAAAAATATTATTCCAATTGGTTTAGATTTTTTTGATAGTAATTTTTTAAATGATTTTATAGAAAAAGAACTCAAGTGTAAATATTAAAATATATAAGTTGAGTGGTTCCATTATAACATGTCATTCCAATAGATTATTCAATTTTTCTTCCTCAATACGAGTGATATTGTTATGTATAAGCAAACGATGTGTAATGCTAAGTACTGTTTGTAAAAATACTTAAAATTATTTTACAAAAACCAAGGTATATTAGAACATTCCAAAAGAAATTTTAAAGAAATATACTTTTTTTTATTAAAAACTTCAGTTAGGTAAAAGTACTATTTTGTTCCTCATACAATTTCATTTCATGTTAAACATTATCATTACTTGCAAATGACACGTACAAATTGTTTTGAGTCACTTCATCCAAAAACTGTGTAATATGATCAATAAATTGTCTTATTTTATCTCACAGTTTCAAAGAGTTTCATTAATCGTACAAAATGTTCTCATTTGGAAGGCGCCAGCTTTTCGACATTACCTATAACCCTTTGTTATGTTTACGTTTTCTTGACGGGGCAGAATTATCGAATAACTGGTGTATATACCACTTTTAAATCACTCGTAATAAACATATTTTCCGATGTTAGTATACATTGCAGTGATTGAATAGCACAAAACATATCTTATGTAAAATTCACAGAGTCTATTTATGTAAGGCTCGCAAAGCAAAACTCACGTTTGGTTCAAGCCGTCGAATAACTGAACAAAAATAAAAGTTCGGATCAAACCTTTCATTCAAAAATTATTATAGCAAATTGTGGATGTCCACTTTATTGATTATCGGCATCCAAAACCATTTCGATTCCATCACCCACAAAGTGGTGAGTGCTAAGTGGTTTTACTACGCAATCTTAGGTAGTTAGTTATTTTTCTTTGATTTATTTAGAAGAGGTTCCGAAATTTGTATACAAGATAGGCTCTGTATAAAAACATCGGAACTCTGAAGGAAGTATGAAAACAATTATACTTGTAAACGAAGTAAATATGTTTCTCTTGCGGGGATGTGGCTTTGATACAATAGAACCTCGTAGTGTTAATTATTATAAAACAAAATATATTTGACTCATATGGTAACTTTCTCTATTTTTTAGTTGAGAAGGCTTTTCTCTATTTCTTCTCGACTTTTTTTATCTTATACTGGAACAAAATTTTTTTACTTCTTTAAAAAATATACATCATCAAAAATATTCAAGTCATATCGCACAATTTTTCTTATTATTATAAGATAATATTCAGCGTTTAGGAAATTAAGTATTTTTGAAATATAGTTATTAAATTAAGATAATTAGGATAAGAATCAAATTTTAATTCGTATTAAAAGGTAACGAATAGTTGAGAAAAAATCGGGGCAGGCGTCTTCTTATAACTGAGCAAAATAGGGACAGTCACCTCACGCATCAAATATCAGAGGAAAAATTTATTTTGATTCGTAGTAACGACCACTACGAGGCTCAATTGTATCAAAGCCACATCCCCGCAAGAGAAACATATTTACTTTGTTTATAAGTATAATTGTTTTCATACTTCCTTCAGAGTTTCGATGTTTTTATACAAAGCCTATCTTGTTCAAAACTATCGAAATCTCTTCTAAATAAATCAAAGAAAAATAACTTACTACCTAAGATCGTGTAAAAAGTCAATTGACATTAACCACTTCATAGGTGAATAAGTGATGAAACCAGAAAAATGTTCGACGCCGATCATCATCCAAAGGATATGCGTAATTCGCTGATTATTTTGAATTGAAACTGAACGCGCCCAAAATACTTGAAACAACATTATTGGCTACCTCTGAATCCAGAATTGCATACTCGATTCATAGTTCACACTCGCACTACTAATGCAATAAAAATCATAGCAATTTTGCCACTCAAATCAACTTTCAATCCTACCTTTTATATGTCTATCGATACGAAAAAGAATCCATCACGTCCGAGCGTAATCTTGAATACAAATTTTGTAAGCGACAATTTTGCTGTCTTATCGGTGCTCGAACTTCAATTTAAGCCTTAGCACCACGACGAACAGTAAATTTTCACATGCGACTAATTATGCACATTTACCCAGCCACGGTAAACAAGTGCATGCATAAGATTATTAATCGTTGAGTCGAGTAGCGCGCGACTCTTAACGGTGTATATATTTTTTAATTACAAAAAAAGTACAGAGTCGAGAAAAAAGTAAGTGGTCGAGAGATTGTTAAATTTTCTTTTAAATTAAACTCAAAGATTATAAATGCAAGAAGTAAATTCACACAACTGTGAGCTACTTTTTAAGGACTACTTTATTTTAAGGCTGCGCGCGTATCCAAAAAAATCGATTTTTTCTGAATCGTGAATAGGACTCAAAAAATCGGTTGTACTCGCATAGCTGTAATATTTATTCTTAATATCAGATCCACGCAGTCCTGATAAGCTACATTAAAATTTGATATTCACGCGCGTCGATCGAATATTTATATTGCATCTACGCGCGATATGCCGTGCCTCGTGCTGATATAATGTGAGTGCATCGCACAGTTACGGCAATTACCCCTCTTTCTCTCTCTCGAGTTGGGCTCGCGAGACACTCGCAACTATAGATACCGCAGCGCAGCGCATGCAACGCAACAGCAGCAGAAGCAGCGGTAGCACTGCAGACAGCGGCGTAGGCGGAGAGAGAAAGAAAAGGAGCAACGGGAATACTCACCGACGAGATGTACTACAATATATATATATATAAGTAGTGCGCACGCGAGATCCCACAAAAGGGACGTCTTACGGATTATCGTCGCTCTGAGAATGACTTCTCGCGCAGGAACAGAGGAGAAAGAGATAGAATGTTATCATCTTGTCGCGCTGCATCGTAATATAACTACATTCGACTTGTTTCTTGATTGCTACGTACAAGTGTACGTACAGAGGATGGACCAAAAATTGGTTCTCACGTTGGTAGGCGAGGATTTTCGTCGATTAATGAGTGTCGAACTTTAGAAAATATTAACACATGAAAAATGAAAATTCATAAAATTTATTTCGCCAAGTATGCGGCGTATGTACAATGCGAGCACACGAGCGCAACAATAATTCATTGCATGTGCATCGTATGTAAGTATGTGCATGTGTGTATAAGTGTGTGTACATAATAAACGAGTCCTGCGGTCAGGAGCTACTGCTTGTTCTTATATCTGCAGTATAGAAAATAAGGATGGAGCTTCACGGTAAAGGAAGGAAGGAAGAGCGATGCACGACACGAGATGCCTAGATTCCAATCTCGAAAAACCCGCTGCTGCAGTTATACTCGCGGCAGTGACTCTTCTCTCTCTCTAATTTGGTTATACATCGCCGTATACTCGCGATTACATATTACCAGAGTGGCTTACTACATATAGCAAGCACTCATATATACAGATTTGATGAGGGGAAAATAATAGAAGCTCGCTCGAGAGTCTTCGCGGTACCACTGCAGCTCCGCGCGCCCGTATATAAGCTTTGTACACTGCACAATTTCTATTTCACGAGGTATATGCGCGTCATGCGATGAACGATGATGCCTTAGCTGTGAGAATATCACGTGCTCGTTCTGCCCACGTATTATGTAAACACATGGGACTCTTGCCGCCCATGTGCGAGCTTCTGTGTATGCTGAACGTGCTCGCGAGTTCACGCGCGGGTGTGTGCGAGTTTCTGTGCATCGAATTTTCAGATTCGAGCGGCTGCGCACATGCCTTTTGACGTAATGATACCGATGGAAGAACATCTTCGGGGAAGCGTAATGAGAGTTTTTTTCGCGTTCGAGCTTGGTGCACGTGTTGTGCAAAGTATAATATACTCTGAATGCGTTTTTAACAGATCCGAGCGCCAGCTCGAGCGTGCCATTCTGAGTCCAGAATAGTTAACGCAAACTCTTGAGGATATTTCATTCAACTATCGCAAGTCGAGGACATTAATTTTAATTCAAATTGTCATAACATAAAAACTTATTTTCGCGCGTGCTTTAACTTTTTGTCAGATTATTTTACTGCAAATTTTAACCGATCGTAGAGAGACGAAAAAAATATCATTTTGTCGAATAACGCGCCGGATCGGGAATATAGTGCGCTTAAAAAGAGAAACAGAGATGAAGGTTTATACGAGCAATTAGCTTAATTGAAAATCATCATTACGACGTTACGAATGCATTATCGAATAGGATCGATCCACACTCGAGATGATTATCGCTCGGCCACTCTCTCGCGAGTGACGCGTTCCGCATTCCTCGTGCTGTGCCACGAGTCACCCCGCGCAAACACCCATATAAAATCGTCTCTCTCTCTCTTTCTTCGAGCGAGTCCAGCCGGAGTGCAGCGGATAGCGCGCAGAGAGCCGCAAAATGCGCTTATACAAATTGCTCAAAGCAAAGTCGAGCGGGGGGCAGTTCGATTGGTCATTGCAGATAGAGTGCC